TTTCGTGTGTAACTTTGTGCTTTTGTACTCCAGCACATTCCGGGTTGGTATTTTCAGCAGCTTGTGTCGGTTGCCCACGTGCATAGCTGTCAATTGCTCGCGTTCCCTGTCTCCCTAGAGGCAGTACCATGTGCGGGCTTATTTTCTGTATATATTTTGACCATACTGTTATCTGTGGACTATGTCCCATGTGTTGTAACTAAAGTATACTCAATAAATGGAACGCGATGTCGCCATGGTTCCCACTTCACACTTTCCTATCATTCCTTACTTTTCTTCCCTCTTCTCATTTCCTCTAAAACTCTTCATCCTTCCTTTTCAAAGGCTATGCCGTAAGGTTCGGCCTTCTAACACTTTTAAACATATCATGTCATATAAAAGGCACAGGAGTTATTAAGCTTCAAAGATGGTGAGCAAAATTGTGCCCCCCCCACACACAAACATCCATACACACAGAAATTATCCCCAAATTTTTAAAATTTCTTGACATTTCCCAAGGTGTACCAAGTCAAACAATGTAAAAATCTTAGGGGAGTCAATTTTTTGACTGATTGCCATACTTTCCTTCTGTTATATATCAACCAGGAAAGTAATATAAATATACAATGCAATTTAAAATATCTTCTCAGTGATGCCTGAAGAAACTATTTTTAATTGTGTTAAAATATCTGCTATAATTAAGTTTTATATTTACTTAATAAAAAAAATTGAAATAATGATAGTGATTTTTAAGCCGTCATTATATCAACACTCATAAGGCAGATATAAAAACATGGTATTCAAATGAAATTCTAAAATGACATTTTTTTTGTGCTTAACTGATCTATAATTTATTGTTGTTGATGGCAATGGTCACCATATACACAGTTTGCAGGATGATCTTCAAATAGATAATTAATCATACATTTATAAAACTTCTTTCTTATCAACATATCTGGGATGGTGTAATGAAATTTGATACCTTAGCTCTTCAACAAAACTAAAAATTATTGTATTACATCTTTAAACTTTTCAAAAAGTTTATCAATAACTTGAAAACTATTGATGTCTTACATTCCTAACATAAGTGATGATAATNATTATATTAAAAACTAAATTTTTCATTTTCTACTAAGTGACTTTTATATTTTATATAATTTTGTTCTAGAACCTGATGATGGCTATTTAAGATGGCTAAAAATGTTCATTTCTTATAGATACACTGCTGAAATATATTTATTATGACTGGATGATTATAGAATTATTATTGATGATTAGTATATCATTATCATTCACTAATTCATATTAGTTGACACGTTCATTTTGTATTCACTATTTATACTTTGAAATGAAAAAAATAAAAAATTGCTAATTATTTTTAAAATTTGGTTTTGACTTCCTTTGCAATGATTCAATAATTATATTTGAAGGTAAATATTGTAAATCTACAGTTTTGAATAGTTACAAACATTTACATCCATGTAATTTAATACAGCCAAATTCAAAGACATTTTAAGAATTTACATTTAAATCATTTATTTTATCTTTAATAAAATTTGAAAAGGAAAGGAAAAATATTTGTTCTTTTATTTGTAAATTTTAATTACTAATTAGTAGTGTAATAAAGTAAATTACAGAATAAAATATAAAATATGTAACAGAAAATTTATACCTTTTTTACATTTTCCAGCAGTGTGAACATTTTATATTGTAGTTAGTTTCAGCTTACAAATTCAATATACATATAATGTAATTATATGACAAATATATTTATATGTATAGTAATTAATTAAAATTTATTCAAGTCAAAAACATTTTTAACAATAACATATTTATAACAAACAATTATTAAAAACAAATAATAATATTGTAATTTATTATCTGTTTAAACTTGAACTTTAAGAAATTACTTACATAAAAATAAGAATGATGATGGCTATTTAAGATGGCTAAAAATGTTTAATGTTTAATAAAAAAAATGTTAAATGTTAAATCTAGTAAATAGTTAAATAGTATATCCACAATGGAGTATACTATTTAACTTACAGACTTATTTAAAGTTTCTCATCTATTTTATTCATTAAACAATAAATATTTATTCAAAACTACTACAATACAGTAGAGCATCGATTATCCGACTCAATTGGGGACTCAGGTTGGTCAGATAACTGAAAAAATCGGATAACCAAAAAGAAGGGAAAAGATACATTATTAGTAAAGTATATTAGGATATTAGTATATCCCATGTAATTAGTTTATTAGTATATCGCTATTAACCAATTTCGCGTTGATTTTCATCGATGTTTAGCCTAACAAATTTTTTAAAAAATAATAATCGTAGCTATTGTATCGTTAAAAATTATTTTTAAATTGTTTTATTGCTCACGAAACAAACAACCACTCATAATTAGAAAATTAAGTCTCATTTAAATACTGCCCTCCCTTCAATGGTCGAGCCATTGATGCCAGCTAAAACACACAAAAATTTAACAAAAATATTAAAGTAGCTAAGACATAGCCAAATATTGTAATGCCATATCACTAGCGGACATTTGAAATTTGCTGACTAGAACAGCCAGTTAACCGCTGTTCTAGTCAGCAAACGGTTAGCCAGACGGTTAATGGGGGGTCGGATAATCGATGCTCTACTGTACTCTCTTTCTTATATATACTGTATATGATTGTCTTATTTATATTTTATACATATTTAAACTGCTTTCAAAGATATTCTATTCTTCAATAAGTATATTGTACAAAATTTATTTTGAACTGCTCATATAAAGGAATATCAAAATTTTCTATTTTTGTACTAAAATTTACCACACATTGTACTAGACTAATGCACTTTTTTTCAAAAAAATAATGATTAACATTATGAGTATTTTAGCATTAATATTTTATATAATTTAGTATACTTTTATCATTCAGTAAATGGATATTTGGTTACAGTTTAATTATTGAGCTATTGAATTATTTTGTGCTTTTTATTGTTTGTAATAATTCATTGCCATTATGTAATAGTGAATTATCATAGAAAATAATTTTTGATAATTTCATAACGTAAAGGATTGAATGTTTTAAAGAAGTGATATTTCAAACAAAGAATATTAATGATATTATTGAATATTTTATCTGAAGATAATATAACTACTATTTTTATTAGAAGTTTAAAGAAAAAATTTTCAATAACTCTTAAACAATATATTTTTTGAAAATTAGAATTTGTCTATGTAAAATATCTAAATCAAAAAATACATTCAATGTTCAGATGTTGAGAGACTATGTACAAAATATGACATTTTACACCATAGATTTCTTACACCATAATTTGTAAAGATGAATGTATTTTTCTGATATTTTTGTTGGGTGAGATGCTTGCTTAAAATAGATACTTATAACAGAAAATATAAAAATATTTTTGTAAAGAAAATTTTAAAATTTTGACAGCAGATTTTTTTTAATAATTTAAATTTTGTTTTTCTCTACATTTTTGAATTACCATATCTATCATCTTATTTTCAGCTTAGCATCTAGAGTTAGAAATCTACTAGCATTTGCACTAGCATGTTATGTTTATTATAAAATTTTGCCTTAACAGACAGTTATGGTTAAGAAAGCAAAATTTTATTTTTATTACAAAAAAATGTTTTAACAAATGTTGTGATATTTAAAATTTTACAAAATTTTGAAGGAAAAATTTTTAATTAATTTGTGTTTAATTTAAAATTCTTTTAAATTATACAAATACAAAAGCAAGAAAATTATCATTTATGGCATATTCAACAAAATTAAAAAGTGAATGTTCCATGCAAAATAATTATTTTTTTGAAAAGTAATTGTTGTTTTCATTACCATCTCAAAATATATGTTTTTGTATGTATATTTTAATTACATCATGTTTTGATAATGATAAAATTTATATCATCAAGACCCCCAATGTAATGAAAATCCACATACAAAAGGATTCCCTAAGTATTAATTATAATTTTTCATATTGTTAATATGCTTTAATAATTAAAAACATGAAGACTAAATAAATATTCCCTAGTGTATAATGAAATATTCCTTACCATATGATTTGTTATATACTATAAGTATAAGATTAGTTTAAAATATTTGGCAAATTTTTTCAATATAATAATACAATTAAACATGAAATAAAATAAGTAATGTTTAGGGATTTGAATGAATTATATTAATTACATGTAACTAAAGTTTTTATATTTACCCGGTATCTGACAACATAATATCTAATTATTAAAAAGAAAATAAATATTTGGGTTTTACCTGTTTTCACTCTATTCTCTCAAGAATGCAGTGAATTAAAATTTGTTTATTTCAAGTAAAATAAAAAAAAAATTGAAAAATCGGCAAAATAAGAGAAAAACATTCTAAATCAATAATTAGTGTAATACTTTTTTTTTAAGTTTTATTTTTATTCAACTTTGTCATTAAATATAAGCAAAAACATTGCTATCATGATAAATATTAAACAGTCTAAAGGAATAAATAAATAAATAATCCCAAATAATGATACATATTAAAAAATAATTTTACCAAATTAAGTGCAAGTTAAAATTTTATTATTATTCAACAGAACAAGAACTTTTATGATTGTTATTCTATAAATCTTTAAACTGTTTTCAAGTTTGACTGAACCCATGTTTGCAAATGCTTGGGTAATTTCAAACTGATATAACACCACACACAAATCTAGTATAGTGCTGTTATAAATACATGATAAAACAATGCTCAACAAGTTTATGCTCACACCAATTAATTATAAATATAGCACCCTATTTTATAAATAATAACCACTATCAGGAAACTTTTAGAATGCCATTTGTACATATATCAATATATACATATATAAACACATGAAAATTAACAGGCAACTTAGTATTAGTATATAACATTTCGAAATACTTGAATATTTTTCTCAGTTTTCAAACAGCTCATCAATATTCTATTCTATGTAATGTGTATTTCAAAATCTAAGTAATATTCTGTTTTGGGATTATTTTATGTTCCATGTTTTGAATTTTAAACCTTTATGTTTATGACACATCACAAAAATTTAAACTTTAGAATACTTTAAAATATAAACTTTTAGAATGAGTGATGTTCTTAGAATTTTGAGTTACTGGAAACAGTTTGATGCTAATATTTACAGTGTCGCCATCTGTTAATGATGAGAGAACCTGGGTAAATTTTGAATTTTTTGATAATTATTAAAAAACAGAAAATCCATGGAAATAAGGTTTCTCACAACCAGCACAGTGAGTCCTTACTTATATAGTTGTGTCATAATTCTAAAAATCTTATACATACAAAACTAATTCTAGTTCAGTAAACTCAGCTTAATTTGACAGATTTATCTAGTTTGAGAAGCTGTAAAAGTTTAAATATTTTTCAAAGTAGAATTGCCATCTTTGGAAAGTAAAAAGCTAGACAGACAATATTTTTGTTGTTGTTAGGGCTGCATGATGTAAAATAACATTAAAAAACCAAAACAGTAAAATGTGCAAACATAAGAATGAAATACATTAATTTATTAGATCATACACTTAAACACTTAAAAAACACATGCTATGGCTACCAAGAAAAAATACTGCAATCCTAAGGCTATTCTCACAGAACAGCACAGAATGTAGCAAAACTGTACATGTTAGATGAGCTATCTGTTCATTGCCACTTGAGGCTTATTTTAATGAAATGATCATTACATACAAAATGGTGCCAAATAAATGCCAAATTAAAAAATACTTATGTTGGAAAAGCAGGACATTTTGAAAATTGAGTGAAACATGAGACTAAATAAAAGAAGAATAATCCTACCAAAAGTAGGATAGTGACAACCTTAATTCCAAGCAACATTATTACTTTTCATTTAGCTGATTTAGAGATGAACTAAAAGATAAAAATTGCTTGACCATTTTTGTCTTAAATTATATACAATCATGTAATTTAGCATATTTACAACTATTAGCAAATTCTACTACAGTGGTGTATTGTAAATATGTAATTATTACATATTTACAGTACACCACTGTAAATATGTAATAATTACACCACCCAAAATCACCAAAGGCAGACATAGTTTAGTTCTGTTTAGTTCTGTTCCATTCATTTTTATACAGTATATCAATCCATACTTTAATTGATGATATTAAATATTCCTACTTTAATGTGTAAGCTGATGAATTTCTGGTAATTTCTCTCTTTCTATATACTAACTACCAGAGAGCTATTTAGAAGCTAATTTTATCAATTTTAATCATACATTAGCTCTTTACAGAAAACAAGATTTCAAAATTTGCTGAGATTGACACTAAAACCCATGTCATTGGATATAATCAACATTAAAATTTTTTCTATTTAATTTTTCCAAGTTTATTTTAGCATTTATTATTATTATTATATATTTAACTGGCTGTTATCCGTCAAAAATGAAAGAAGAAATAAAAAAAATATTTTTATTTGAAACTATGCAAGCTTTATCAAACTATAAAATTTTTTTAAAATCAAAACATTTTTCATATAGCCTTTGTTGTTTACTAGTGATTTGCCTCAGAACTCTGAACCCAAATTATGAATGTTTACGTTCTCACTGTAACAGCAATACAATCTTAACTTGTCCAATTTTACCAGTCTGGAATTTGGATATGTATCAATAGTATTAGGTTGGGTGATGCATAGCCAACTTTTAGTGGAAAATGTCATCTATCACCATTATAGTGAATTTTGTCAATGCTGTATTCTAGATATAATTTTATAATAATTTTTAAAGTTTGATTCACTTATATTCAAGGAAATTAATTACTTCCAGCTATTGTCCAATTTAAAATTAACTAAAGTACACTGTAAAATGCAATATACAGTACTATATTAAGATTTATCAAGTGATAATGGTGAGCAAAACCAATTGATAATTTTTTTACAAAAAATGTAAGAAAAGTAATTTTACAAATGACAATGACAAAATCTAAAATGATGTGATTTACTTTGATAAAACATATGTTTCAACTGCAACTGCAATTAAAATTCTTCTTAGAACAATCCATTACATTTTAATAGTTTGCATAGTGCTACAGATGTATCAAAATAAATATAGGATAATAACTTTGAAAGAGATAACTGAATTAATTTAAAAATCACTTAAGCAAAAAAGTGGAAAAATATTTTAAAAATTAGTTTATACATCAAACAATGAGACAAGAAAATAAATTAGACTCATCAATTTTAAGCTAGCCCATAGCATTGAAAGTAATTTTTTTTCTGGATATAAGTAAATTAAAAAGAATTATTTGTTAAATTTTAATAGTGTGTTCTAAGAAAAGTTTGAATTCAAACATCATTACTATAAAAACATGTTCTCTTAATAAAAAATAATTTACATAGTTATATACAGACATATAATATATATAATTATTTGATGTATAAAATATAAATGATACAAAACAATAAAAAATTTATCATTTAGCAATTTAAATTAATTTATTCAAAACTTATAATTACTAAAAGTATTAATTTTTAATACTGAAAAGTTAGCGGAATTTAACATTTCAGTAATCAAAACATTCTTGATGCCAATAACCATTTCCAAAATAATTTTTTAAAGATATTTTCTATCAATAGTTATAAATCAAAATTTGAAGATAATTCTGATTGAAAAAAATAAAAATAAATTTTATTATTTCGTAATAATAAATAAAAAATATTCAAAAGTTATTATGTTGAATTACTTGATATTTACAAATAAAGCATTTATGTTTCAATACATAAATTATATATTTGAGATATGCAACTTGTCTAATATAAAAGCATCAGTTAGAAAATTTTTTTCTGTATGTAAACTAGAGTTCTACAGATTTATTTTAAAAATTAACTTACAATAATATTTTTAAGATCAGCATGTGCAGCAAAAAGACGTTTTCGACAATCTGGAACCATCATGACTGATTCTTGTAATACTTCTTCCTATAAAACATTTTTACTTTTCATATTATTATTCTTAAATATTTAAAACATTTAACAATTCTTATATCATTATTAATACTTATAATTAATTGTAAAGCAATCCAATAATTTTTTCCGTATAGGGCAAACGGTATAGGTTATTGACCAGCAGACAGTAATTGACAATTTCAAATTTAAACCTCTTTAATAAAATTTCTTTAAGAGCTATTCTGGAAATATTCCATGGCAATATTAATACAAGTTTCTGATATCACTAGCTAGCAAAAAAATCCTGCAGGTTTTTCTGATGTTGCATGTGGCCAATAACTATATAATTTTGCATTTTGTAAAACAAAGAACATCTTGGATTAAATTATCAGCTTTGTAATTTCTAGATGTTGGCAGTAAACTGCCAACATCTAGAAATTCTTTTTCTTCTACACAAAACTGGATACATATAAATGATAAATTATACACCTTTAAAACCTTAAAATCTAGGAATTAGGCTATATAAAAAAGAATTCACTGTTTTAACGGACTGCTTTGGTCACTGAAAATCATCCATTATTCTGAGAATCTGTTATATCAAGAACAACAGATTTCCTGCATACCCAAGAAAATATCTGTTATTTAACCCCCTACATATAAGAAATAACCTGTACTTGAAATCATTCAGTCTCTTGAAATCTCTATTTTTTATTATATAGAAACACATTTGTTACAAGATCATATATTATGCCTTACATGTGTATGATAAAGCTGATGGAAACTATATACACTATAAGCACAAAAAAAGGCAAATCACATTTGAGCATTAGTACTTCACTCAACCTAATGATTTGTTAAAAAACTCATTCATTTTGGTTTGTTTTGATGCCACTTTTCTGCCTATTGAATACAAGAACCGCTTGATAATAGCAATGTCATATACAGCCTGTTCATTTATGATAAAACTCATCAGAAAGGTCTTCATGACTTGAAAAGACTCCGTAGCCTTGCAAAATTTTGGCACTGCATTTGGACCTGCATATAATGTTCACTAGGTGGCTCCTCCTCAATCATATCAGCCTGCTGACTCTCTTCATACAATTCTTCAATTGTACTGTACATATCCCAGATGTATCAAGTTTATCAAACTGTATAAATTCCCAGAAACACCCGATAATTAACTAAATAATTTACTACAGACAAAAATAATATTAACAAGAATCTAAGCATAGAAATTAATAAAAACTGGTTACAACTATTAAAATAGAATGTTTATACAGTTGCAGACTGTGTGCAGCATTTGCAGCATTCTGGGAGTGAGACATTGCACGTTGCAAGGCATGTGGGGGATGCCGTCAAGTCAGCAGGGAAGGGAAGTGGAAAGACGTAGTGCGGAAGGTGCCTGACAGATATCCACAAGATACAACCTATCTATGTAACAGACTGAAGAGGGGCAAAAGCCCAAAACACATATCTATATGGATTAAAAGTTGATGATGAAATTATTTGCCAAGTGTCAATAAATTCACTAAGTCGTGACATTGAACCAAACAAAAATATTGAAAAGACACAAAGTTTACAATAGATGGGGCTAGAAAAAATCTGACTTGAGATGAACCCTAATATTGTTTTGAAGATCATCATTAGTCTTGAACCTCTGCTCTCCTAGCTAAGTTTTCAGTTCAGGAAAGAGGTGGAAATCACTTGGTGCTAAATTGGGGCTATATGCTGGGTGTTTAAAAGTGGTGAAGACCCACCCAGCTTGGAACTTTCTAATGTGTGAAGACTTCCACATCTTTCCTGAACTGAAAATGTGGCTAGGAGGGCAGAAGTTTGAGACTAATGATGATCTTCAAAACAGCATCATTAAGGCAATCTCAATTTATTGGTGGCAACATGGTATGACAAGGGAATGGAAAAGCTCGTCCACAGATATGACAAATGCCTCAATCTTCACGGTGATTATGTCAAAAAGTAACAATGCTTGCACCTAACTTTTGATAATTCAAGTGTAAATAACAAAATTCATTTTGTAAATAACAAAATGAATTTTGTTATTTACAAAATGAATTTTGTTATTTACACTTGAATTATCAAAATGAATTTTGTTATTTACACTTGTCTTTGTTTTATGGACCATCGAAACTTGAAAAAAAACCCGCCCTCATATATATCAATTTGAAAAAATTCCAGCTTATGGTAGAAGATTTAATTAATCATAAATATTTGCAGCATGTACTATGACTTAAGAAAATAAATAAAATTGAACAGAAACATAATACAAAAGTAAAACAAACACTTTCACCTCTTTTACTGAAGAAGCCTTCAATAGAAGATGTGAAAATGCTAATTTTACATTTATATCCCATTTCTAATTTTAAATTTTGATTATGTATATTTATTTTACTTTAAAAAATAAGTATAGTATGTGAACTTAATTATAAAAATTCTAACAAAAAAAAAACACAGTATTTTAACATAATCATAAAAATGTATTCAAAATAAAACTAGAATCTAAAAACTACATAAAAGAACTATATGAATTTTTTGATAATATCTTATATTCTTTAAATAGTTGATTATCTAGTTGTACTGTACTAAAAGTCTTATCTTCTCTTAATTGCCTACAATAGCAAGTTTTTAGCCCTATTACTACTCCATCACATTATTTTTACATTTAAATTCTAAAGGTACAGTTTTTTTAATTAATTAATTAATTTAAACAGAGCCAAACAACATTATTTCTTAATAAGTAATCCAGTTGGTTGAATACAGTAAGGTTCCATATTACCACCCACTTTTCCCTAAGCCTACTTTCTGACTTTTTGTACAGAAGCCTTCAAAAACATTACTTATAATTACACTAGCAAAAAATCCAATTAGGAACATTTAATTTAATAGTTACCAGTACTTTTTGCACAAAAAATGCGAGTGTAGTTATGATACCTTGTTTACAATTCACTATAATGTAATCGGAGTTCCATAATACCACCTTCTCCTCTAATTGGAAAAAAATGGGTTTAGTAAAAACACTCATCAGTTCAACAATATTTCAGTCATGCTGAAATTATTTGAAATCTGCCTATATAAAATCATCTACCTCCTGATTACCTCCTGTTTATGTCCTGTTCAACATTCTGGTATAAAACATCACTCTACTATAAGCAATCTCCTAGATATTCATCATATCGTTCTATCAAATTCTGAGTTAAAACTTCCTATCTATATGGCATACATCAATGTCACAAAAGCTTTTGATTCTGTTGTTTTAGATATTCTGTTTGATAAATTATTTTCCAAATTTGAAATCAATGACATTGTTTTGACCTGGCTTAACATTTTTTTCCTATTATGTACTTGTCAGATTAAGATTTCTGATTTTTACTTTTTGCATTTTTCACCATTGATAAAATACATCAGGGTTCAATCCTTAGTAATCTACTGTTCATAGCTTATATAAATAAAAACACTTTCCATTATTTCTTCTTTATTCATAAATGCATATGCCAATAATATTAAACTTGCCAATAGTTGTCATCATTCATTACAATAACATAAACATGTAGGGTGGATGTCATGCCAACAATTGTACTGTATATACCACTATCAGAAAGCTGCTTAAAAAATCAAAAATAAACTTTACATTGAATTCATTAGATTTAAGGCTGTTTTATATATAATAAAGCATTTTTTTGCAATTTTTTTAATATTTTATTTCTTTTATTTTCGTTTTATCACATTTCATTTCATATTCATTTTCCTGGGTCTTTTGCTTCATTGTTGTATAGGGTGGCAACCATTGTTTAAACGATATCGCCAGTAATATTGTAAAAGAATAAAGAATATAAAGAATAAAAATATGTTATGTATTAAATGATATATTCCCAGAAAGATTTATCAAATTCTACAGCAACAATCAGGAGAATGGAAGCTGACCAAATGCAGGTCATGACAAGCTCTTGAAGTGTCCTACAGTATGATAAGCAGACTGAAATCATTTTCTAGAAACAGGAACAATGCACAGGAGACCAGGTCAAGGGCATTGATAAATAACTATATCACTATAATGTGGACGAATTGTTACTTGTTAACAGTTCACTGGGATAGCTGACAGAATGTTAAAGTACAGCATTGGGCATTCTTTGCAGGTACAGGAAGATTTATATCTACTCATCTTCATCAATGGCTTGTATGCCCAGTGACTAATGCTGTAGCTCCATTAAGTGTTTGTCACTGCTGAACTCAGAGAATGGGTTTTGGAATATAGAGATTGAGCAAACTGTTCTTTTTTCTGATAAGTCATGATTTATTGTAAAGCCAGATGACAAGTCAACAAGTTCTCATCTGGCAGAGCAAGGAAGCCACAACTATCTCTTCTTTGTACAGCAATAGCAAAGTCTTGGTGGAGGAAATATTATGGTTTGGGAAAGCATAACTCCTGATGGTCTTATAGATCTCTATCATCAGGAATAATTCACTAATAGGAGTAAGGTACTGAGGTAAAATTTTGAAACTTATTATTCTTTATGATGAAACAATTGGAAATTTATTCATTCTCATGAATGATAATGCATGCTCTACAGAGCACAGGTAGTTACAAAAATGCCTGAAAAAAGTGTGAAACACATGGACCATCCTGCAAGTTCACTTGACAAACCTAATTGAACATTATTAGAAGCATTTATTGACTACATAGTCTGAAATTTGCATTTCAGACTATGTAGTCAATAAAGCCTGTAGTAAATCTATCATGATTGTGTTCCTGTATGATTACCACCACAGAGAAAAAAGGGGCCTGGTAGAAAAGTGAAAATTGTAATGAAAGCCAAGTTGGAAGAATTAAATAGGACCCTTAAAGATAGTGACAAGGTTTCAATTTGATCTGTAGCCCTGAAACTAAAAATTTCATGTAAATGACTCTATGAGGCTTTGAAAACAAAAAACACATATTAAACATTGAAAGGAGAAAGTAACTCCAGACAGAATGACATGCAAAGATCACTGGCAAAGACAAAGTGTGGAAGGTTGTTGCA